TACAATGCCTGCGCTTTAAAGGAGGGGTTTGGGATATTGGCAGTTTGGAGGGATATGTTGTGTATCTTTATATGTGTATGCTTCTAAACTGTTGTATTCTGAGCACCTCTGCAAAAACAGTGATAATGTGCGAGTGTGGTGAAAGTGTTGAATGATGATGAAAGTATTTTCTTTTTGGGGATTTTCTTTCTTTTTTGGGTCACCCTGCCTCGGTGGGAGACGGCCGACTTGTTGAAAAAAAAAAAAAAAAAAAAAATATATATATATATACTCACCCAGTTGTGGTTGCAGGGTAATGCCACAGCTCCTGGCCCCACCTCTTCATTAGATGCTACTAGGTCACTCTTCCTGCTCCATGAGCTTTATATCATACCTCTTCTTAAAGTTATGTATGGATCCTGCCTCCACTACATCACTTTCCAGACTATTCCACTTCCTGATAACTTGTGACTGAAGAAATACTTCCTAACATCCCTGTGATTCATTTAACCCTTAAACTGTCCAAACGTAGATCTATGTTTTTCAACATTTGAAAGTATGTAAAAAAAGTAGATTTTTTTTTTTTTTTTACATTTGAAAACGTGAAAAAAAAACTTTGATCTATGTTTCTTTTTTTGTTATATTTGAAAATATGTAAAAAAAAGTAGATCTACTTTTGGAGCACTACGCATGTGAACATATATCTGCTTGGACAGTTTAAGGGTTAAGTCTTCAACTTCCAACCCTGCCTCCCTACTACACTCCCTCCCTCCATATTATAGGAAAATGTTTGAATGAATGAGCAGAAGCTTCCTCACTCGCCGAGAGACAAAGCCAGACTGATGCACGAGCAGCTGGCGGCAGGGGGTTGATGCATCTCATACGGCCGATTAGCAAAATAACGGCAGATAACCGAGATGGCCGATAAGTGGAACAGCCGATAACCGAGGGTCCACTGTATGTATTTTTTTAAGCGTCAGCCATCTCCCATCAAGGCAGTGTGACCCCAAAAAGAAATACTCTCACTATCATTTACACACAATCACAGTCTTTGCAGAGGTGCTCAGATACGACAGTTTAGATGTCATTCTAAGCAGCCAATTTCCCAAACCTCTCCTTTAAAGTGCAGGCATTGTACTTCCCACCTCCAGGACTCAAGTCCATCTAACTGGTTTCCCTGAATCTCTTCACAAAATATTACCCTGCTCACACTCCAACAGCTCGTCAGGTCCCAAAAACCATTTGTCTCCATTCACTCCTACCTAACACACTCACACATGCCTGCTGTACATCCAAGCCCCTTGAACACAAAACCTCTTTTACCCCCTCCCTCCATCCTTTCCCAGGATGGAGGGAGGGGGATAACATTTAACACACACACCTATTTGGGACATAAGTACAATACAGTGTACAAATTATTACAATTATGAGGAGCACTAAACCTGTGTCATGCATTGCATAGATTAAAGAAAGGCATTCGGGTATGACCCACAGAAGGGAAATATATGTATGTCCAGTTCCTTAGATAAAGAACCCTTCATTGGCATCAAAGAACCTCTTTTGAGGGGACAATTTGTACTTTATAACTCAGTCCCCATGAAAACCAGTGCACCCAAACTTGATCACAGGCTTCCTTATACCCTGGAGTAGGTATTAGGCTACAAGGCATTCCAAAATTATCATTTGGGTGGAGGCATTCTTTGTTGTTGCATTGTTGAACGGCACATTGTTTTAACTTTTTAAAAATACTTTCAAAAACATGTATTGTACAATACTCCAAAATTTTAAATGGAGACACTTTTTGGTTGGACTATTTTGAACAGTAATTTTTTTAATACTGATTTTAACATGAATACATATTCCCAACCTAACCTAATCAAACTTTGATAAAAAATGAGCTCAAGCTCAACTGAAATAGAGACAATTTTGTCTTAGACCCAAATGTTAAAATGCATACAACCACCTCCTGACCTGTTGGGTGGTGGGGGAGGAGGTCTGAGTTCTCACCAGGTCTTTGGGAGGGGTCTGAGTTCTCCATAGGTGTGAGGGCGAGTCCTCCACACCCATGCCCTGACAAGGCAAATGTGGGAGCAGGAGTCCTCCACACCCACCCACTGACAAGGCTAGTGTGTAGAAGACATTAGAAACCCTTGAAAGAACTACCAAAGAAAATTTCTCATTAAGTTTTACAGTTACTTATCTTGCAAGAAATGAAGCATGTCTGGATAACACAAGGTTATTTTGCTAGTAATGTATACAGCAGACAGAAGTCAGGTGAATTAGGCAAGGTAAGGTCAGATACCAGTGTGCAAGTCACTTGTTCTTGTAGCATATAAGTAGATTTAGTTTTAGCAAAGACACTTGCACTAAAATTTCTGGAGTTCTGGGCAGCCTTGTTGGATATTGCTATTAGGGCTGCCTCGAGCCTGTCACATGCACAAATTAATTTCCTTTAAAACCAATCAGGCTCCTCATTCCATTTCATTTTGTGTCTTGTGTATTATAGTGTATCACTCATGTGTTATTAAAGTTGTCTCTACTGTGCGTATTCTCGTGCTCCTGCTCATCAAAACTTCTAAGCATCTTGCCCACATACACCGTATTGTACTCCCTGCACAAGATGATATACATTTGTGCTGGTTAACATCATCTTGGCTGATCTTTTCTTTACTGGGTCCTTGATGGTGGATGACAAGCTGGTGGCCAAAAATCATTTTGTGATCTGCAAGTGCCTTCATGACAGTGGCCACCTTCCCAACTGGAAGCAATAACATACCTGGTTGGTAACCATTCTTGAGGAACCCTATTAAGAGCACACTTAAAGTGTGGATGAAACAAGTTGTGTGAATATTGGTAGAATTACCGGCATTAGTCACATTAGTTGCACTTATGTCCTAATGTGACATTTTACTGTGGCAACGTTTCGCTCTCCAGGAGCTCTGTTAAGCTGTTACAAACAATACATGGACACAGAGGGTATATATAGGCTTTGAGTGAGGTGTAGTACTAGTGGAGGTAGTAGTAATAGTGATGCATGTGGTGGTTGTAAAAACTATGGCTTGGGCAGCATAAAAATAGGTTAGGCAAATGTACAGTGGAACCTCAAATTTCGAACTTAATCCGTTCCAGGAGCTAGTTCTAAATTCGAAAAATCTGAAATTCGAAGCAATATTTCCCATAAGAAATAATGGAAATACAATTAATCTGTTCCAGAAACCCAAAAATATTCACACAAAAAAATACATTTTATAGAGATTAATTACAGTTTTACATACACACAACAAATGCTATAGTCTTTAATTATGTATAGTAATATAAAATAACATTTTTACTTACCTATATTGAAGATTGGTGATGGCATCTGGAAGATAGGGAGCAGGAGTTATTGTTTGGAAGGAGAATCCCCCTCCGTGAGGACTTCTGGTATCAAAGCCCTCTCTGGGGTTGCTTCCCTTCTCTATTTTAATGCCACTAGGACCAGCTTGAGAGTCATTGGACCCCAGTATCACAAAATAACTGTCTACAGTCCTCTGTTTCTGTCTCACAAAATAACTATCCACAGTCGTCTGTTTCTGTCTCACAAAATAACTGTCCACAATCGTCTGTCTCACAAAATAACTCCACAGTCGTCTGTTTCTGTCTCACAAAATAACTGTCCACAGTCGTCTGTTTCTGTCTCACAAAATAACTGTCCACAATCGTCTGTCTCGCAAAATAACTCCACAGTTGTCTGTTTCAGTCTCACAAAATAACTCCACAGTCGTCTGTTTCTGTCTCACAAAATAACTGTTCATAATCGTCTGTGTCTCACAAAATAACTCCACAGTCGTCTGTTTCTGTCTCACAAAATAACTGTCCACAGTTGTCTGTCTCACAAAATAACTCCACAGTCGTCTGTTTCTGTCTCACAAAATAACTGTCCACAATTGTCTGTCTCACAAAATAACTCCACAGTCATCTGTTTCTGTCTCACAAAATAACTGTCCACAGTCATCTGTTTCTGTCTCACAAAATAACTGTCCACAGTCCTCTGTACATCCTGGCAAGCTCAACAAGCCTCACACCACTCTCATACTTCTGTATTATTTCCTTCTTCACATCTATGGTGTTTCTCACTTTCTTTACCACAGGGGTACCACTAGCAAGTTTCTTTGGGCCCATGGCAGCTTATTTCACAGCCCCACAAGCACTAAACACAATTAAATAATCGTAAAATGTGTGAATGAGATCGCAGGTTAGTGTTCACTCAAGCATAAACAAAGCTAGACTGCTCACGGCGCCTACACGGGGATGCGGACAGAGCGGGCCAGCGGACAGGTCCCGTACCCGGCAGTCCGAAAATAGGGGCGCGTTTGATAATAGGGACACAGTTTGTCCGAAAAAATTGTCTTATTTTCGAAACGTTCGATATGTGATACGTTTGATTTTTGAGGTTCCACTGTATATGGGTTTGAGAAGGTCTGTTTCAGTGTCCCTCTGTTACATAAGAACATAAAAAAGGAGGAACACTGCAGCAGACCTGTTGACCCAAACTGGGCATGTCCTTGTATGCAGTATCAGCAGCAACTATGTGATTGCAGGATTTACTGTTTTGAGTAGGACTCTTGCTAAGACTTCAGAGATGAAGAAGCAGCCTTTGTTTTGTTTGTGTTAGAAACAGCGATTAATGATGATTCAAGGCATTTACATCTGTGGGAATTAGGTTCCTGAATTTCATGAGATTGGCAGAATTCCGGTATTGTAAGCAGGCGTTGTTCAAGTTATCGTTCCTACATACATTAACGTGTTCAATGAGGCGTGTTAAAACTGGAAAATGTCTACTGTGAGTTTTGTTGTCAAAATAAGAAATAATTTCTATTCAAAACCAAGTCTCTATAATGAACTTGTCAGGACTGAGGGCAGTCTGCAATAACTAAACTTTAAATATTTCCCTGATACATAGCCCTGATACATTTCCCCGATACATAGCCTTCTATTTTACAGTTCACTCTATAAATTTAAAAGGATAAAAATAACAGTGGTAACCCATTTCCAACTTTATTAAATAATTGTTCAACAAAGAAAATTATATTTTCTATCAACCACCCTCCTTGAAAAAAAAGCAAATTAAAATAATTATTCTGTAATGTACAATCCTTTTCAAAGTTGTAAAAAGTGGCTATGTTCAACCATCTGTCCATCATTCATTCATAATTTTTTATGGTTATTTACTGTATAAATTGTTTAGACTTTTGTTAAACCAGTTATTCAGAAAATATTAGGTACATATACCATCCTTAACTTGAAGACCAATAAGTCAAATAGAAATAATCATAACCTCTCTCCAGGGCCTTTACATTCCTGTATATTTATACAGTACATTATGGTTTTCTAAGAAAAAACGGGATAACCAAGCTCTGCATGGGTTCCTTTCTAGCAATTACATGTTTAAGCCCTAGAATATAAGAAAACTGATCTGTAAAATCCTTAATCGTGCAACTGGCTAACCTGGTTGTAGATGCCGAAAACTAACTGCCAGGACTTAGATGAACAAGCAATTTGTTCACAATTCACAACTAACTTAAAAATCAGAGATAAATCTTTAAAGGACATTTCAGTCCATCTTGGACCAAAACATCAAGAACTATTTCTAATTTGTGGGTTAGTCGAGAATTCGTATAGCCACATTATAGCAGCTTTTATGCTGTAAGGAATTTATTTATGCAAGCTATGTTGTTAAATATGGCTCAAAAGCATGCTGTAATATGACCCAGGGCCTCTGTTTATCACATTTGGACAATATTAACCCAACTCACGCATCTAAATCTGACACAAAGAGCATACTCCGGGGTGGCAGACGAAACTCTTCGAATGTTGGCGGCAGAGGATTTGATGTTGTTGGTTCACATGGCACAACTTGTCTTGGGAAGTTTGTTGTCACCTGGAATCTATAACAATATATCTCTAATACTGGACAGACTTTAATAAAAGAATTTAAAATTTTGTATTAAAACTAAACCCCTTCATAAATGTTACCTTGATTACACTAACAGCATATCCATTTAAAACTACTACTCCATTCATCTGGATCTAACATAAGCCTACTGGATACTCAAGCCCTTAAAGCTCAAGGCCTCTTATTACCCCCCACTTCCCTCCAACCTTCCACTCCAGATTTACACACCCCTCATCATCATCCTATCCCTCCCTCTCTATCCTCTCTACATACCCAAACCATCTCTACCACCCCTCCTCAAACCTCTGAATAATAGATACCCTTGGTGACCCCACATTGCCTTTTAATTTCTACACATGATATTCAAATCACACATTACTTTTTAACATGACATCTCCACTACCTCTAACAGTGGAGACATCTTGTTTAAGCATTCAAAATCCATGCTTCACACCCATATAAAAATGTGGTTATCACTATACTCTGGTACATTTCCCCTCCCCCTTTTCACAGACCCATCTGCTGACATGTACACTCCCAATATCTAAATACATCCACTTCATCCATACTCCCTCCCTCCAACCTGATATTCAATCTAGCACCACCTAATTTCTTTGTTTCCCTTATCACCTTGCTCTTTTCTATGTTCACCTAACTTCCTTTCATATATCTTCCTAAATTTGTCCACCAATTTGTCTTCACAATTCCTCAAAAGAACTGTGTCAAGGGCAAAGAGCAACTGTGGAAACTCCCACTTGTACAGTGGACCCCCGAGTTTCGTGATTAATCCGTTCCAGAGAGTCTGCCGAAGGATGAAATTGCTGAATGGCAAAATCATTTTCCCCATAAGAAATAATGGAAATAAAATTAATCCATTCCAGACACCCAAAAATATTAAAAAAAAATTTTTTTTCTTCAAATTAAATAAAGATTTACATATAGAAAACAATGAGAAATCAAGTACATACATATATAAAATAATAACAACTTTACACTTACTTTTCCTCAAGACTTTTGGGTGGATGGAAGACAGGAGAGGAGACGATGAAGGTGCACTAGTGTTTGGAAGGGGAATCCCCTTCCATAAAGACTTCAGGTACCAAGTCCTTATCTGGGGTTACTTCCCTTCTTTGTTTTTTAATGCCACTGGAAACAACTTGAGAGTCACTGGACCCCTGTCGCACAAAATATCTGTCCAGAGAGCTCTGTTTCTGGCGTTTCTTTAAGATTTGTCTGAAGTGGGACACAACACTGTCATTGTACATGTTGCCAACACGGCCTAAACAGCTTTGTCTGGGTGAAGTTTACTCATAAATGTTTGCACTTCAGTCCACTTTGCACAAATGTCCTTAATCTTTGAAGAACGCCCCTTCCTCCATCTCTCTTCCTCCTCCTCTGAAGCAATTTCCTGAACTGTGGTCTGTTACTGTTGCAGGTGAAGGTCTTGCAGCTCTGTAGTGGTTAGCTCTTCATCATGGTACTCCAACTCTTCTACATCCTCCAAACACATATCCAACCCCATGGAATTCCCCAGTGACAATACTTTCCACAACTGGCATAGGCTCCTCAGGGTCAGCCCCAAACCCTAAGAGGCCCTCTCTTGTACACATTCTGGCCACAATTTTCTCCAAGCAGAGTTCAAAGTCCTGCAAGTCACTCCCTTCCAAGTCTTACCTATAAGGTTTATGCAATGGAGGATACTGAAGTGATCTTTCCAGAACTCTCTTAGGGTTAATTCAGTGTCTGAGGTCACTTCAAAGCACTTTTGAAACACTGCTTCGGTGTACAGTTTTTTGAAGTTTGAAATCACCTGCTGGTCCATGGGCTGGAGGAGAGGAGTTATATTAGGGGGCAAGAAGTTCACTGTGATGAAACAAAACTCCTCCACCATTAGCTCTTCCAAGTGTGGAGGATGAGCAGGAGCACTGTCCATTACCAGGAGGCACTCGAGTTCCAATTTATTATCCAGGAGGTATTTCTTCACACTGAGGCCAAACACTTCATTAAACCAATCAAGGAAAATTTCCCTTGTGACCCATGCCTTACTATTTACCTTCCACATCACACACAATTTACTCTTGGTGACACTGTTTTTCTTGAACACTCTGGGATTTTCAGTGTGATAGACCAGTAAAGGCTTCACTTTGCAATCCCCACTAGCATTACTACAAAACATGAGAGTTAGCCTGTCTTTCATAGGCTTGTATCCTGGGAGTGCCGTTTCCTCCTGCGTGATGTAGGTCCTGTTTGGCATTTTCTTCCAAAACAGGCCTGTTTCGTCACAAATGAACACTCGTTGGGGTTTGAATTTTTCGGTGTCTACATACCCCTTACACTCCTGTACAAACTTCTCAGCCGCCCTTTTGTCCGAACTAGCAGCCTCGCCATGCCTTACCACACTGTCTATGCCACTACGCTTCTTAAATCTCTCAAACCAGCCTTTGCTGGCCTAAAAATTCACAATCACCACCACTCGTTGCAGGCATTTTCTTTACGAGGTCATCATGCAACTGCCTTGCCTTTTCACATGATATTGACTGCATAAAACAGTGGACTCTTGACTAATGATATTAACTGGTACCTGAGAACGAATATCGTTAGTCGAATTTTTTTTTAGTGTTAGCCGAGGCAAAATGTTAGCTTTAAAATGCATCGCTAGTCGGATTTAACGTTATATGATGCCATCGTTGGTCAAGGGTCCACTGTACTATCTCTTGCTAACTGTTTTTGGGTAATCCACACCAAAAATAACCTCTCCACTCCTTCGAGGGTTTGCAATCTCTTTTTTGTCAGCATATCTACCCCTTTTGCACCAACAGCACACTTTATTTCCTTTCCCTTCACCACGATCAAAGTGATGGCTGAATGGGGTTTGCCATACATCCTGGCAAGCTCTGTAACAGGCACTCCACTCTCACTTTTTTCAATGATTTATTTCTTGAATTCGATCATGTTCCTCACTTTCTTTACCATAGGGCTGGCACTAGCTTTCTTCGGGCCCATGGAGACTTATTAAGCAGTTGCAAGCACAAAAAAACTGTGGATTATTATGAAATGTATGAACCCGTGGGTTGATGGTCACTCGCTGGTAAACAATGGCACACCAAGTGTGAATGGTGCTGGAGACTGGCTTTGTGAGCGCGCTGACGGTGGACGCATACTGGACGGTTGCCGAATCACGAGGCCAATCACGAACCACAAGGCTATATTTTGGCGAAAAAAATTGCCGAGTCGGATTTCACGAAGGTTGCGGCAGCCGAACGGTGGGGTTTCACTGTAACAGATACACCATCTTTTAATCCCACACCCCTTTCCAACACCCTACCTTACCTATGATGTACCTTTAAACAGTTTCGAGTTTCGCTACTCTCAAAGCCTGGCTCGTCTGGTGCTTGCCTGGTCAACCAGGCTGTTTCTGCCTGAGGCCTGCTACCCCACATATCCATTACAGCCTGGTTGATCTGGCACCTGGTGAAAATACTTGTCTGGTTTCCTCTTGAAGGCTTCTACACTTGTTCCAGCCATATTTCTGACACCTTCTGGTAAGATGTTGAATAGTCTGTGACCCCAGATGTTGATACAGTGTTCCTCACTGCACCCCTGCTCCTCACTGGATTTATTTTGCACTTCCTCCCATATCTCTCACTCCAATCTGTTATTATGGCAGTGTGCAGATTTGGGACCCTAGCATTCACTTATACAAACCCATCTATAAATATGTTAAAAGTAGGAAAGGGCTATATAAAATACACTAGTCAGGATCATTGAAGCTCACCTGTCTGGAGAGTCCGGGTGACAGAAAATGTAGTAGTACAAACATGAGAGACTTTCGGTTTTGAGGAATCGTCTCTCTAAGCGAGTTCCCTGAGGCAGTTTCACCACAATGTGTACCACTCCGTCCACACCCTCCTCTGGCTCCTGAAGGGGTACGAAAGTCAATGCATAAATTAAGTGATTTATCTAAATCTTTAGCAAGAAAACTGTTGAAAGTTTACACACTTTTTTTAACACATTGACCGTCTCCCACTGAGGTAGGGGTGACACGAAAAAGAAGAAAGAATTTCACCATCATTCACTATTATTGTCTTTCAGAGGCACACCAATACTACAATTCAGATGTCCCTCCAAACTGCAAATATCTCCACCCCTCCTTCAGGGTGTAGGCAGTACTTTTCACCTCCAGGACTAGAGTCCTGGAGGTGAGAATCCCTTCATAAATGTTACCTTGCTTACACTTACAGCTTATCAAGTAAAAAAAAAAAGCCTACTCGTGCCTATCGAATACACACACACACATGCCTGCTAGATGTCCAAGCCCCTTGCACACAAAACCTCCTTTAACCTCTCCCTCAAACCTTTCCCAAGGGAACCCCTACCCTGCTTGCCTTCCACTACAGATTTATATATATCCTGCAAGTCATCATATATTGCTCCAGCCTCTCTAAATGTCCAAACCACCTCAACAACCCTTCCTTAATCCTCTGGATAATACTTTTAGCAACCCTGCACCTTCTCCTAATCTCCAAGCTGCAAATTTTCTGCATAATATTTGCACCACACACTGCTCTTAGACATGACATCTCCACTGCCTTCAGCTTCCTCCTTGATGTAACATTCAAAAACCATGCTTCACACCATGTAAGTGTTGGTACCACAATACTCGCATACATCCTCCTTTTTGCCACCATGGATAACCTTTGTCTCTACAGATGCCTCAATGCACCACAGACTTTTTTACCCTCATCAGTTTTACTAAATATCTTAACACGTCCACTTCCTCCATACTCCCTCATTCCAATCTGATATTCGGTCTTTCATTATCTAAATCATTCTTTACCTTCATCATCTTGCTTTTTCTTATATTCGCTTTTAATATCCTTCTATTACATACCCTCCCAAATTCATCCACCAACCTTTGCAACTTCTCTTCAGCATTTCCCAAAAGCATCTCTGACAACTCCCATTTTGTATTAGCTTCTGCACATTTTAATTCCATACCTGTCCCAAACACTCTTAGCATTCACTTCTTTTACAAGGCCCTCTATAAATATGTTAACCCTTTCAGTGTCGAGACCCCTGATCCTTAGATATAGAATCTTTTCCCGACGGTAATGACAAAAAAGTACAAAATTTGATGGAAAACTTACAAAATTATGCTCTGGCAGAGTTAGCGACCTCGATGGTATTTAACCCTTAACCCTTTGACTGTTTTGGTCGTATATATATGTCTTACGAGCCAGTGTTTCAGACGTATATATACTCAATAATTCTAGCGGCTTCAAATCAAGCGGAAGAAAGCTGGTAGGCCCACATGTGAGAGAATGGGTCTGTGTGGTCAGTGTGCACCACATAAAAAAATCCTGCAGCACACAGTGCGTAATGAGAAAAAAAAAATGATCGTTTTTTTGGATTAAAACACCGACTTTGAGGTGTATTTTCGTATAGTATTTCTCGAAGTATTTGCGTTTTCATGGTCTTAGGTGATAAAATGGAAAACATATTACAGAAATAGAGATGATTTTCATTACTTTGACGATGAAAACGACCTTGAAACTGAGCTCAAAGTAGCGGAAATGTTCGATTTTTACCAATGTTCAGGAGTAAACAAATCACACCACACGTCCAATACACGTCAACTGGGGAGTTTAATATTCTTTCACTAGTGCACTCATATTATTTATACCATTTTTACAATAATGCAGTAGTCTGCATAACAGTAAATTTTGTATTTTTTGTATGAATAAAAAATCAAAATAGAAAGCAATAATAATATAAGAGGGGCCTAGAGATGTGACTAATGAACAGAGGATATGTTATTTTAGTGCCAAGAATGTCTACCTTGTTTATTCTGGACCCTATTTTGAAATTGGCATCTTTTTTAGTTTGCGTGAAATTGGCCAAATTGCCATTTTCTGACCACAATATTGGGTAGTCCAAATTGGTAAATGGGAGGTTTCTTGTACTCAGCTGATAGATAAAATGGAGTTCTAAAGAAATAGCTATGAGTTTGGTCAACTGGAACAACGGAATTGGCTGAAAATAGGGCTCAAAGTCGGCGAAATCGCCGATACGCATATGTCGCCGAGACCGCTAACTTCTTTTTTTTCAAAAATTTAGCGACATAGAATGACAGTTTCAGAAAGGGGCCTGAAACAGTCAAAGGGTTAAACTGTCCAAACAGATCTACGCTCACATGCGTAGTGCTCCAAAAGCAGATCTGCGTTTTTTACATATTTTTAAATATAACAAAAAAAAAAAATGTAGATCAAAGTTTTTTTTACACATTTTCAAATGCAAAAAAAGAAAAAGAAGCTCTATGTTTTTTTACATACTTTCAAATGTTGAAAAAACGTAGATCTACGTTTGGACAGTTTAAGGGTTAAGCATCAGAGATTTTGCCCACTTTGAGCCCTATTTTTGGCCAATTCCATTGTTCAAGTCAACTACTTTCAACGACCCAATAGTGGTCAGAAATTGGCAATTTGGCAAATTTCACACAAATTTCAAAAGATACCAATTTCAAAACAGGGTCCAGAATAAACAAGGCAGACATTCCTTGCTCTAAAATAACATTTTCTCTGTTCATTAGTCACGTCTCCAGTCCCCTCTTACATTACTCTTGCTTTCCATTTTGAATTTTTATTCTCACAAAAAATAGATTTACTGTTATGCAGACTACTGCATTATTATAATAATTGTATAAATAATGTCAACACATTTGTGACTGTGTATTAGACTGGCCAGTTGGACACATACTGGACAGTGACGTTATTTGTTTACTTTTGAACATTGGCAAAAACTTAACATTTCCGCTACTTTAAGCTCAATTTCAAGGTACTTTTCATCATGAAACCAATCAAAATCATCTCTATTTCTGTAATATATCTTCCATTCTATCAACCGAGGCCAAGAAAATGAGAATACAACCATAAATACCATATGAAAATACATTGCAAAGTCGCTGTTTCAAACCAAAAACATGATCGGAGCTTTTTTTTTCTCATTATGCACTGCGTGCTGCAGGATTTTTTTTATACTGCGCACACTGACCATGCAGACCCATTCTTTCATATGTAGGCCTACCAGCTTTCTTCCACCAGATTTGAAGGAACTAGAATTTTGGTGTATTATTAAGGGACCAGCACTGGCTCTCAAGCCGTAATATTACGGGACCGACCCTGAAAGGGTTAAACAACTATGATGACATCATGCATCCCTGTCTAAGGCATACTTTTACTGGAAAATAATTTCTCTCTCTCTTACATACCCTAACCTGAACCTCACTATCCTCATACAAACTCTCAGCTGCCTTCCATAACCTACCACAAATTCCATACATTTGCAACAACTGCCATATTACTCCCCTATCCACCCTACCACATGTCCTTTCTAAAGCCATGAATGCAACAAAAATGTCCCTGCCTTTATCTAAATATTGTTCAGTTATATGTTGCAGTTTTATAACTGTAGTGTAAGCATGCCTCTGGCAAGACAGTGATGGAGTGAATGATGATGAAAGTTTTTCTTTTTTGGGCCACCCTGCCTTGGTGGGAAACGGCCGATGTGTTAAATAAAAAAAAAAATAATTATGTACTTCAATGTAAACACTTGGTCTATATATCCCCTATCCTTCCTAAAAAAAACTCCTTGTTCATCTGTGATCCTGCTCTTCATCATCCCATTAATTCTTTCAATGATAACTACCAAACACTTTACCTGGTATGCTCGACAGGCTTATTCCCCTATAATTTTTACACTCTTTTGTCCCCCTTTCTTTTATACAAAGGAACTATGCACATACTGCCACTCCCTAGGTACCTTCCCCTCTTTCGTACATACATACACACTGAACAAAAGTACCAACCACTCCAAAACTATTCCCCACCTGCTTTTAACATTTCTGTCATGGTCCCATCAATCCTAGCTGCTTTACCCCTTTCATTTTACCCACTGACTCACACACCTCCCCGACTCTCACAACTGGCTCTTCCTCACTCCTAAAGGATGTTACACTTCCTTGGCCAATGCATGAAATCAGTGTCTCATTTTCTTCAACAACATTTAACAGTTCCTGAAAATATTACCTCCATATTCCCAATACCTCCAACACTCCATCTAGTAACTCCCCTTTTCTGTTTTTAACTGTTCAATCCATTCATTCCCTAGGCTTTCTCACATACTATTAATCTCCAAAACTTTTATTATTCTTGGCAATATTTGTTAGAGCCTCACTCACTCATTTGTTCTTCTTTGACATTCCCTTGCTACTCTCTTAAACTCTCTTTATTCACTATATACTTCACTCTCCTTATATCACTTCTGCTTTGTAGAAACCTCTCATTTGCTAACCTATTTTCCCTTACCACTCAGTTTATTCCATCATTCCACTAATCATTTTTTTTTACTAACCCATCGGCCATTTTCCACCAATGTAGAGTGACCCGAAAAAGAAAAACTTTCACCACCATTAACTCCATTACTGTCTTGCCAGAGGCGTGCTTACACTCTGGTTATAAAACTGCAACATTAACATTCCTCCTTCAGAGTGCAGGCACTGTACTTCCCATCTCCAGACTTGAGTCTGGCCTGTCGGTTTCCCTAAATCCCTTCATAAATATCACTCTGCTCACACTCCAACAGCACGTCAAGTCCTAAAAACATTTGTCTCCATTCATTCCTATCTAATACCCTCACGTAAACTTGCTGGAAGTCCAAGCCCCCTTGAACACAAAACCTCCTTTACCCCCCTCCCTCCAACCTTTCCTAGGCCAACCTCTACCCAGCCTTCCCTCCACTATAGATTTATACACTCTCAAAGTCATTGTATTTTGTTCTATCCTCTCTACATGTCCAAACCACTTCAACAACCCCACCTCATCCCTCTGGATAATAATTTTGGTAATCCCGCACCTCCTAAT